GTTAAAATGAGAGTTTTATAATGTATCCTGGAAATTCTTTTGAGAATAAATAATTCTGTTTTTCTCTATCTCCTTTAGCTTTTTGCATGCTTATACATACATATGTGCACACACATAGAGTACACACATGCAAAGCTATTGTTAAAGGAAATGACATATTCTGGAGCGCCCTATTTGGGGTTTAACTAAGATAAATAAATACATAAATACATAAGTAAATAAATAAATAAATAGATAAATAAATAAAACTGGGAACATCTGAGTTCATAATGGTTCAGTTTCCACAGTTACAGCAGTTAGAAACATCTCACCTCTCTGATGGTGGAGATCCAGGAGATTTAAAGTCAATGAACTCTTCCTTTGACCAGTCACTCTTTAAGGACACACAGCTGGGTTCTGGTTCTGGTTCTGGTTCTGGTTCTGGTTTGCGTCTCTGATGGATTCTGACAGAAACATGATGATTAAAACTGAATCAGCAAAGAGGAGCAGCAGCAGCTTCATCACCACGTCTGTTCTGGCCTGATATAGTGAACGCTGTGTGAAAAGGGCTGTGGACAGTTAGAGATGGTGACCTCACCTCTGACCTTTGCTCTGGCTCTCATCTTCCCCACACAGAGTGGTTTTAGAGGGAGGGACTCCCTCCTCTCTGTCCTCACACTGATCCATGCTGCTGAATCCACATCAGCTCACACACACTTTCTAGCTTCACCTGCAGAGGAAACACACATCATTCATCTGCACATCAACTCTGATCATCCTTTACATCATTAGTGCTGGAAAAAGATCAGCTGCTCCTCCTCTGATTGGCTCTTCTTCTCTGCTTCATATCAGTGTCAGGTGAATGCAGTCAGACAGCAGAGAGGCAGAGGAAGCTGCCATCAGCTGCTGCACTTCTACTATCAGTCCACTAGATGGAGACATGGAGCAACATTTACATTCACTGATTCAACATGAACAGGAAATATTTTAATTAATGATTAATCTCTACACGTGGATTATCAGCTGCGTTAAATGTTTACTATTTAATAATTTGACTGAATCAATAATAATATTTTAATAATATTTTATTTTGAAAGGAAGCAACAGGAAACTGTTGCTGACATTAATGGTGAGACTAGAGTTCAGTACCAGGAAACAAAAACATGAATCAGTTTGGAGAAGAAAACAGTGAAACATCAGCTGTTCATCATGTTGATTGATTCCAGTTCATCAATAATCTAATAATTCTGCAGATTAGCCTTCAAACAGCAGATATTAAAATTTCAGCTGAAATCAGAAGTTAAACTTTTCTCCAAACATCAGAGATTAGAAACAATCAGGAAAAAGTTAAAGTGATGAAAAAGTTCAATAAATAAACAAATCAAACTTACAGTTTGTTCAAAATATCCAAAGAGTTAAACAAGAAAATTTAAACAACAGACAGAAACCCGACAAACTGTCTGGAGCCACACCTGAACAGGTGAATTCAAACCGAAAGTAAATGTGACGGATGTTGCATAACTGATGACGTCACAGCTCACCTGACTTGTAGTTTTTTCTTCAGAGCAACAGAACCAGGAAGGAGAAGCTCTGAGTTGAAATCAGAGGCAGGTTGATAAATCTTTATGAGGAAGGAGAAAAGTGCTGTTAAAATGAGGGTGTACTTATTTTTGATCATGACTGTAGTGATGATTGATAGAAACAAAAAATAAAGAACAGTATTTTACTTTATTCATCATGTCATAAAGAAAAAGTTGTGAAAATGCATTTTTCAAACAAATATTTTCATCATGTCATCCAAACGTTCATTATAAACTAAATGTTTACTTTGATTGAAAACAAAATTTTGGGAAATAAAGCTTTAGGTAAATATTTGGGTTCAAAATAAATATTTATTTTACAAACTAAACATTTAATTTTCAAATTCAGTATTTATTTTCCAAACTACATATTTAATAATCTTTTTCATGTCTAGTTGTTCAGTCAGACGCTTCATCATGTTGTCATGTTTCAGTTTTCTCCATTCAGCAACAGTTGGTGAACTGGGTTTAGTCCAGTTTAGTCTAATTGTCTTTCTTGCTACCAGCAGCAGAAGGTGCAACAATATGTACATTGATGTTTAGTGAGTAAATCCTTGGTGTTTATGTCCAGCAGAAACAGAAGAGGCTCCATGGGGAGATCTGTCCTCAGAATGTCCTCAGTCTCCTGTTTCATTTCCTCCCAGAAAGTCTTTATTTGTGGTCAGAACCAGAAGACGTGTGTGATGACCGACCATTCAACACATTCCTCCAACATCCATCTAAATTTTCCAAACAATCCACAAATGGAGACCCCAAACTGGACCATATTGATAGTTTTGACCTCATTCCTCTTCAGAGATACCACTGCAAACTCGTATCAATGGCTCCTCAGAATGACCAGTGGGACGCTCTGCTGGATGGAGACTGAACTACAACACTAAAAGAAGTTTTAAACTCACTTTTCAGTTAGCTAATTGAAAAAATTTTATTCTGTAAGAAAATAAATTGCATGGTTATGCAAAACCAATAAAAAGGTAACTATTGCCACATTATGGAGTAATCAATCATAGTAAATATCTGCCACAAAAATTCATTCTTGAACAAGATGGCTTTTCCCAGAAGACAGTATTACATTTTAATAAAAAGTGGAGTGGAAAGAAAAACTGGTGAAATAAAAGATGCACATATGAAATTCACCATTTCTGGAACAATGACAGTCCAACATATGTGAAGTAGATTTTTCTTTAAAGAGAAAATGTTTTATTTGCATCATACAGTGTTCTTTTATGTATCACATAAATGTAATTGTATCATAGTCAAGATGTTTTCGGTGCAGCTGCAGAGGGTGTACAAACTAACTGAACAAGATGCGTCTGCTGAAGTTTCCCAGGCGGGTCGTCTGGGAACTTAATCTTCTCCTCTGTTAGCTGAGAGGTGAATAAAGCAACTATGTAACTCTGAGTTCGTTAGAGCAGATTTAGATTTTCGCCTAATGCAGAGTATATTTTTCCCTCTGTCTGCAGATGTATTAAAGATTGTTTTTGCTTCCTGAACTTGGACTAGAATTGTCCCCTTCACACATATTCAGATGCTTTTATGGTTAGTTCACAATGGAAAAATCTGAGTTGATTTCATCTGAACATTAATTCAATCTGGAGAGACTTAGACGGAGAAATGGAAACCATTAGAAGAGTTTATTGACATACAAAATTTAAGTCTTTGGCGCTTGGGCCCCGGCTGAGGACATCGATCATCACAATCTTTGCGATGAGCTTGGATGAGCATTCCATATGCTGAAAGGAACGTCATCCCCCGAGACGAGACATTGGTGATGGAGGTGAGAAAGGATGCAGCCGGAGAGCCGAGCGAGTGGAGGTGAAGGGTGGAGGAGGGTTGAGCTCTGCTGGACAGCAGAAGACGCCATGGACGGTGCTATTTCTCAGCTGGGACTTGGACAGTGATTGGACGTGACGCGTCTTGGACCAGCGTTGATTAATCAATGGTGATGAACAGGAAGCAACGGTTGGATGATGCAGGTGGGGTTAGAAGAGTCTTCCAGTTGAATTTGTGCCTTTTTCCTCACAAAGTGCAATAAGATCTATTATAAATTTGCCCAGTATAAATACACTGATTTCACTGTGAAAATTACGTTTTTAGTCAGTAGTGTAAGAAATAAAAGACATTTCCATACAAGTCTTAAATACTTTATACAAAAAATTGAGTGGAAATCATACACAGTGAGACAGATTTAAAGAGACGTGACAGTCCAATGAAAACTCCAGATAAATGCAGTGATTTTATGGTCAAAAGTTACAAAAATGTGCAATAATTAAAAAAACCTAAAGTGAAAACTTAACTTGGCACAAGGAAATATTTGCTCCCATCAACAGAAACATTGAATTACTGAGGGAAGGTAAGAGGCTGGATCTGTAGTTTAATTTCATCCATTAAAAAGCTGCTGAAACAAAAAGAGTTCAAAATAAATCTCTGTCTACAGAAAATACAAAGAAATGGTAAATAAAAAACATGGGATTGATACTCAGCATGACAGATTACAGCTTACATAAAATAACTAAAATGAAAAATACAAAATGTTAAGGACATCAATCTGGAGAAACAATATGCAAATTATAACGATTACAAGGTAAAGAGATTAAAAATAAACAAAAAATAAAACATTTTTATAATTAAGGCCACTCGTATGAAGAGCAGGATAAAAAACAAAAAAGGAGAGAAATGTAAACTTGTAATCATTCCAACTCAAGTCCTGCTGTGCAACTCAGTTTGTAACAAAACCCCAAAAATCTCAACAAAGATGTCAAAAAATGGAGCAGAAATCAGATCAAATCTTTAAAAGGGAAATAAATATACAAAAATATAAATAAAATGGCCATGGCATGCAGAAAACAGAGAGAAATAAAAATTACTACGAATAGAGGATGAAATGAAGCGATGAGTTAAATTCAAACATTTTTCATGTGAAAACGAGGATTAGCATCGTTTCTGCATGACAAGGCATTTTCCTGCTCAAACTGTTAGAAAACAAATTGTGATTTGTAGTTTTTCTTTGCTAAGTGAAGTGAAATATTTGACTTGTGTTCATTAAAAACAGGAATTTCTTTCCTTTTACATGAACACACATTCACAGCTTGCAGAGTGTAAGGCTTGAACCACTTGGCCACACTTTGGGAGGGGTGGGTTGGATTTATTGCACAAGAACACTCGGGGCGGGTGGGTTCTTATTCGGCCCTTTGACAGGTTCTGGATGGGTTCTGCCTCCTCAGTAGAGGCGGACGAGACTTAAAAAAATGTGAAGTTGAAGAACACTGGAAGCTGGTGAGGTTTTACACAGCAGCCAAGACAGGTCAGAGGTCAAAGCAGTGCCACTGCATCAAGCAGAGCCTCATCTTCCCTCCTCTGCTGATCGGGTCTCGGACTTGAGCCGGACGAACTCCTTGGCGACGTCGTCGTTGGAGCGCTGGGAGAGGATCCGCATGGCGGTCAGGCCCGTGTCGTCCAGATGCGCTGCCCCAGGGGGCACCAGCAGGCGCAGTTGCCCCTCTCCATGATGTCCCTCAGCTGCACCACGGCCAGGCCCACCACCCGGTCGGCGCGGCCGAAGCAGTAGTCCTTGACGCAGGCTTGAACCTCGTAGCACTCGAACCCGTCCTGAACACCCAGAACGCTGCAGAGCGAAAGCAGAACACAGGAGTGGGAGCACATGGGCTAGGGCGCTAATTGCAGAGCTAATTCCTGATTTTGTGCTTTTTCTGAAACTTTAAAAACATTCGTGCACCTAGCTTTTGATGATCTAATTTTCCATTTTAAATCAAAACATTTTTGCTAATCTGCTAATCTGCTAATAGCAGAGCAAATTTGTTGTGCAACACATTTTGATTCCCCTAAATCAGTTTTCAAGTTAAATTCTAAAGCAGTAATGTACTTTTGCTGTTTTCTACACTTTCAGTTGAATAAAGTTTGACATCTGCAGCAGAAGGGACACTTCCATTAAGCTGCTAATGTGCTAATAGTAGAGCTAATTTTAGCTTTTTTTAAATAACTTTTAAAACTATTGCCACAATTAATTTCTTAAAATAAATCCAGATTTTATTTGGAAAAGTTAAATTTGAGGAAGTTCACTAAATGTTTAGCAGAAACACTAAATGAACAATTAGCTGTGCTGCTAGCGCATTAGCTGACATTGTCCAGTAATTTCACAAGGACTTTGTTTTGTGTAACCAACAGTTTATGAAGTCAGAATTAAAAGAGCTTCAAATCCTAAATGTGTCACGACGTTTGGTTTTGAACTTACAAGTGAAAGGTCTCATTGTATTTGGGAGACCAGCTGTTGTTCTTGGATTTGGTCTGAAATCGGCGCTTCTTGTCGCTGAGGTGCGGCCCGATCATCGTGACTTCCACGAAGGGTCTGAACATCCCAGACGTCTGCCACTTCAAATCACTGGCTGCAATCACTGCATCAATGACACAAACATTTAAACAGAAATGACACTAAAATGCTCCAGCTTTGATTTTATTGCTTCAAAATGAGCCCAAACGGACCTTTGAGAGTAACTTTCCGCTCTCCGCTCTTGGGATGAGTGTACAGCTCAATCTGCAGGGAAACCTCTCCGATGGGTTTGTCCACAGCTGAGCCTGGTTTAACACAAACAACATTTGGTCCAATGCAGGCAAAGAAAACCACATTTTATAGAGTCATGCGACAGAAACGCAAGTTTCACAAAACAGAAGAGAGAAAACGATGAAGGGAAGTTGGGCTGATGATGATTTCATGGAGACCTACCCCTGCTGGGCTGGATTTCTCATTAGGGGTTAACCTAATACCCTTCCCATTGTGCACTGGCACAGAGGCAGCAGGAGATAAAAACAAGACAGCAACTTAAACAACCAAATCCAGGAGATAAAAGCAGCGAGGAATCTGAAACTCTCCCGTATTTAATCTCCTTTGAGGCGCTTTGGATCTACCCTGTGAATGCTGCGTGGTCACGAAGGTTTTGATGAGCGTGTCGGTGGTCTGGGTGTAGAGCGACAGAGCGTGGCGGAGCGACGAAAGCTCAGCGCTCTTCTCCAGGAAAGTCTTCTTCAAGCCGTTCCCGCCCGCATGAAAGTATTGCTGCGTAGGAAACAAAACGAGAGGAATCAGCGTTCTACAACCTGAATGATTAAACTTAAAGTGGAGTTAATCAGACTTTTAGTTAATCAACTAAAAGACTCTTAAAATGTGAATGAATTGTACTTTTCTGTTTGACCACAGGTCAACGTTTCGCTCTCACCTTGATGGTATCCAGAGCCACATCCATGACGGCACACTGCCTGGGCGTCAGGCTTTTAGCGCGTCTCCTGCCATGTGATCCTAAACAACCCAAACCAAGACTTTGACTAGACCAATTCATAGGAGAAAGCAAACTCAAAGGCAACCTGATACCTTCAGTTTGGAAAGGTGTCCCAGTTCTTTAGCAGCAGAAAGGATCTGTGCTCCCTTCAGGAAAAACAGAAAAATGAATGATTCTTTTAGTTTTCAGAAGCCTTGTTTCAATTTTAAGTATCATATTAGTAAAGTTTGATGGAAATGGAAAAAAAGCATCGATACAACTCATGTTCATACGTAAAGTGAGTTATTTATCTACTCTATATGTGATTGGATGATGTTCAGTTTGTTGACTAATAATTAAACTGAATATGCCACAGTCATCATTTTAAAACATAATGGATAAAAATATTTTTTGTGTTTGGTCACGTCTGTCAAAATGTTTACATCTCATCATCTGACACAATTACAAGTTGATCCATTTCAAAATGGCAGCCATGTTTCCATCCAGCTGTGATTCAAATTTTGAACAAATTTTTATAATAATGTATAAAAGAAAATGCAAATTACACTGCAAAACCATAAACTCTTACCAAGTATTGTTGGTCTAGTTTCTAGTGCAAATTTGACGAATGTGAATTACAACATTTAACTTTTCTTTTGGGATTGTTAAGAATTAAAAAGTGGAATAACTTGATTTAGCTCTTTAATTAATTCTTTGTCCCGAATTCCTGTGTCTGTGTAAGTGTGCAGAGAGAAAAGAGCAATCATACGTCAGACTTCAGATATTCAGAGTTTATCCAGAGAAATTCAATCCAATGTTTGAATTTGAATTTAAAAATATCTCAGCACATTTTAAATAAGACAAAAATAACTTAGTAGTAACTTATCACAAGAAGAAGCTTGTTTTAAGTCGATAATTCCTTAATATTGATTAAAAAAAAAGTAGTTGGCAGATTATTTAATTTAAGGGAAAATGATTTGTTATAAGTGAAATAATCCATCCTACACAAAATAAGTTCATTATATTTATTTTGCACAAAATTGATATAATAAGATGTTAGTCTGGTTATTATATCTTATAATATTGCAAAAATATCTTGATTTAGGTGAAATAATCAAATTTTGTCAGCAATATTAAGAAATTATTGACTTAAAACAAGTTTCTATTTCTTGCTGAAAAGCTACTTGTGAGTTAGTTTTCTCATTTTTCTGCTGTTCTAAGATAGTTTCACTGACAACTAGATCAAAAATATTTGGTAAGATTGTGTTTTAATTCACACTTTTTGACAACATTTCAAAACCATCTGGATGGAAACCTGTCCAGTGACGGAGACGAGCGTCAGACTCACCAAGGTGTCGTTCCCTTGCGGCAGGACGATGTTCTTCTCCAGGCTGGTCATCACGATCCTCCACAGCTCCTTCAGAACGCGCTTCAGGACGGTTTTCTCACACACCGTGGCGAACAGCGTTAATCTGCAAAAACAAGACGTTCACACACACGCCGACGGACGAGCCGTGTTTGGGGAAATCCCACTGAACCCACTGCGCATCCAGGAAGTCCATGAGCGGCCGCAGCATGTTGTCCGAGTCGCCCTCCACCTGGTTCTTGGTGTTTTCGTTGAGCGGTCCTTTGATCTGGTACAGCAGCGACGCCATCTGCCGCATGCAGTCGGTGATGCGGCTCTGGAAGCTGCAGGAGAAGAAAAGCCAGTGATGCACTGGGACAAAGTGGGGAAACGTGGGGGTGTGAGGGCGGCGTACCTGTTCCCAAACGTGCTGCTGAGGTCGTCCAGAATGTTGTTGAGCCGAACCTGCAGGTCGTTCAGCAGGTCGCTGGCCTCCGTGTCCATCTGGAGGAGAGAAACCTTCAAGTTCAAAAGGCTGACAAAGGTTTTAGAGAAAGAAAAATGGAAATAAAACTGGGAAGTTTTGGGATTTTACTGAGACTCAGAACCTGGAAGCTAAATTACTTCTAAAGCTGAATTATTACAAAACACCTGAGAGTCTACGGTTGCATTACGAGTCCGTTAAACACCTTGTTGGTGTAGTTTGCATTTCTACTCATAATAACATGCATGTTACAGTTCACCTCCTGTAACACGCATGAACTCACCTCATGATCCTCACATGCATTTTCTCTCTATGTGGCAGAAAGTTGGGAGGTAAAACAAGACATTTTGGATGAAATGCCCCATTTTGACACTCATCAAGTGGAAATTGCATATTAAGAATCTAATTTAGGATATTCTGCTTGTGCCTACCTTCTCAAACGGTTCGTCCATCTTTGAGTCAGAAAATTGTTAGAGATATAAAAAAACACAAACAGTGTCAAACTGTCCTGAAGAGGTGGAGGAGCTGTATAAATCCAAATGATTTCTGGACTTTTTGGTGAATATTAAGGTGATTTAATCCCAGATAACATGTTTAACCCACCTCATCCTTCTCAGTCTATCACACATGGTTTAGAAAAGGAACAAAATAAAGTGTTAAAATGAAAAAATACAGTTGAAGGTGATGTGAAAGTGGCGCTTTTATGGGAAATAAGGGAAAATGCTGCTAATCTAAAGAGGAAATCCTCACAGATGAGAATCAAACCAGACAACAAAACTCCACCATGTTGGATGTTTTCGTTTCAGTTTGGGGAAAATCTTTGGAAATGACTTTGGATTTGGAGAATGAAGGATGTTAAAAACCACTTTCAACTGCAACAAACCTCTGCCTCCATTTCCTCCCCTTCCTCTTTAACTTCCTCCTCTTCCTCACTTCCTTCAAACTAGGAGTTGCAGTAAAGAGGCAACAAAGGTTTTGTCTTGTTGCTTCATTCAGATAATTGTGCAGTGGTTTTTTAAAGTTATTTTTAAGACATATATGCAGTCATGTTTTACATGTTTGCATATGCAGTGGACTTGCCTGCCATGCTAGCGCGCTGTTCTTCAGCTAGAAAAGCAGAGAAAAGGTAGAGAATGTCTTTCTCCAGCCACAATTACAAGAACTGACTTTATATTGAGTTAAAACGTGGATACTATCAGAGAAAAACAAAATATTACCATTTATTTTTGGTCTAGTTTATTGTTCAAGTACATTTGGACACTTAAAATAAGACAAAACTAATTTAAAAGTAACTTTTTAGAAAGATATATGAGCTTGGAGGGAGTTTGAGATGCATTAAGTCTTAGAATATTCTTCTTAAAAAGGAAAACCTGCAGATTTGTCTGCACAAAAACTTTTGAATTTCATATTAAAATGTTAATTTAACAGAGTGATTCGTATTTTCCCAGGCAGCCTTAATTTTCTTTTATATGATTTCAACATGGTGCATTTCCTAACAATCAATAACAAATCAAATTGATATGATGTCAAAACTGGAATCTATCACTAATTTGAACACTTGACCCTCAACATCAATGTTGGAGAAACGTTATCGTCATTGATAATGTAATAACAGCAATAGTGTTACAACAACACTATTAAATAATAGTGTTGTTGTAATTTCAAGGCTGCTGTTTCTCTGTCAGATTCCCTCAGGTCTCCACAGCAGAGAGATGGATCACGGCGCTCTTCCTCCACCTCCTCGCCGCGCCCCATCCTCATCCTCCACCACCTCCACTGAGTTCTGATGGGTCGGTTCAGATCCTCTCTGGAGATCAGACACCAGAACAGAGGCGGATCAGAACCAAAGCCAGCAGCTCTGCTGAAGCTCAGGAGAACTCTGAGTCCAGATGTGGACCCTGGTCTCCTCCAGAACCTCCTCTGTTCTGCTGTGGAGGAACTGTGTGGCTCCAGTTCTGCAGCAGGACCTTCTCAGCTGCAGCAGAAGAAGAAAGGTCTTCCTGTGTTCAGGTTGGAGAGAAACCTGGATATTTTCTAGCTTGTGGTTCTGCTTCCAGCGTAGATGTTCTCCAGGGTTCTGATCTGGATCTAGTGGACTGTAGAGCTCATCAGGTTTCCTCTCATCCACTTTGAGATCTTCAGCCTCCTTTAGATTCAACCTGAAGCTTCTTCTGACAGATTAGCTGCAGCTGATATTTAGCATGATGTTTATTATTCTAGCCTCAGTTTTTGTTCTTCATATGACTCCACTGAATCCGACTCTGATGTCGTTCACTTCACAAGTGATGAAGATCCATTTTTCTTTCACTTCCTGCTGATTTCTTTCCAAAGCTCCATTTTTTCCAGGAGGATCTTCAATGTTCTCTTTAGATGATGAAGGAACTCAGACTGACTCCACCCGGCTGGTGCTCCAGGTGAGCAGAAACAAACAAACCCTGAAGTCATCTCTGCAGACCAGCTTTAGATTTGGACCAACTGAACATCAAGCTTCAGTAACGTCTCAGTTAAAGTTTGTTTCCAGATCTGAGATCAGAAAGTTCTGGAACAAACTGGTTGCTCTCCAGTTTGATGATGTTTCCAACCTGAATGTTCATCCATTTTTCTTCTCTCAGCCTGGAAAGAAAATCCTCTAAATTATCTGGCTTGATAAAAAACTGTTTTATTAGTAAAATCCTGGAATCTTGACTCACTCTTTGTGTATCAGGACTTTCACCTTGCAGTTATTCACCTGAAATGAAGAGGAATTGTTTATTTTTGGTCTAAGAATAAAATGTTTTGTAAGGATCATGTAATCACATCCTGGAAAGTCCTTCAGAGTTTATCTTTGCTCTAAAGTTATGAAAACCCGAAACCTCTCCCTTTTTAACAGAGATCAATAACCAAACACTCTGATCTTTGCTTAATCTGCCAGTTTGACAAATATAAATGAACATCGCTTCAAAATGTGTGTATTTTACTTCTGAGTGGGAAAGTGTTTCTGAAATGGAGCAGGAAATACATTTCATAACAGCTAATTTGCATGTGATCAAGACAAGAAGGCAGCGGTCAACACACACACACCCAGTGGTGTGTTCACACACACTCTGCAGAACTTTGTGTTCATCAGGAGGTCGATTGTTTCAGGTTTGAGCTAAAACAGAAGCAGCAGCACTTCCTCTACAGGAGAAAACACACGAGGTCATGAGGTCAAGCTTTGTGACAGTAAATAAAACACACGAATAATCTCTTGGTTTGCTCAATTATAATAAAACATGATATTTATGTTATGAACAATTAGATAATTTTAGCTTGGATTGGATCTGAACCCATCATAAATCACTGATTCATTATAAAAACTTTGACTAGACTCAGAGTAGACTTATGTAAATATACATGATGAAGTATTTAAATTCAGCATTTCACTGAAAAAGTAATTAAAGTGTAGATACAGGGATAAAGATTAGCATGCTAACCCCTCAGGTTTCCCATCAGCCACTTGGGTTTCAGGATGACCAACATTTTTAAACATGGCTGCTAATTTTGAGCCTTTTAAACCAGATATGGACATTAAATGTTCCCTGTTAGAGATTCAGGTTTTAACTTATGGATCTTTGTCAGTAAATTTGATTTAATTATTGGGGAATAATAAACAAATGGTCAAGGAATAAACTAGAAATTAGGTTTTTGGAGGTGAAATTATTAATTGTTGAATAAAAATGGAAAATTAATCATGTAGGATTAATGAGATTATTTTATTGTGAAATTTTAAACACATTACATTTGTACTTTCACTTTGTGTAAAGAGTATTAAGAACTAATTGAATTCATATAAAACATGCAGTTTTTTCATGTTATTGAACGTAGGCAGCCTTCAAAATGAGCGGTCCTTATTTTTCTGTGATGCTTCCAGTCTCTGCGTTGTCCTGTTTCCCCTTGATTGTTCCCAGGTGTCTCGTTTCTGTGATTACCATCTGTGTATTTAATCCCACGGTTGTCCTTTGTTCCTCATCGGGTCCTCATCGTTCTCCACGTCATTTTGTCAAGCCTGTTCTTCTGTCCACCAGGATGAACAGTTGCTACAGGCGTTGAGCCCTGGCTTCAGCTCAGCCATGCTGCCTGTTTTTGTGTTTCCACTTGGACTATTTTTACTATTAAAACCATCATTTAACTATATCCTGGGTTTTCTGCCTGCTGCTTCACCACCAGTATACCAGCATCTCTTGATAGAGTGAAGCTATGACAAGAAAACAAACTGAAAAACATGTGGATCCTGGAATAATCCTGGAATAATCCTGAAATAATCCTGGAATAATCCGGGAATAATCCTGGAATAAACCCAGCTTCCATCTTTAAAGGACTAGAAGAAGAAAAAGTTTCCAAGGACTCAATCAGAATCGTTTCAACAAGAAATAGATTGTAGAGACTGAACTATCTGTTCAACAGTGAGAGAGTTTCTCTGACAGGAGGAAAAACTTTAGACTCTTTAGACTCAAATCAGATCAGAAAACTGAAGAACCAGAACTGGACCAGAACCAGAACCCAAATCCAGGAATCAGAGGTTCAGTGAATGTGGTGTTGAAGGTGTGGAGGAGGATCAGTGAGTCAGAGGAGACTCTGTAGAAGGACAGAATGCCAGCAGGACAGTCCACATACACTGCTACTCTGTTAGAGTCAGAGGAGGAGGAGAGAGGAGTTTCTATGTCATTGTGCCAGACAGAGTAACCATGACGATCAAAGCAGCTCAGACTCCAGGAATGATCATTATATCCAAACCAACAGTTTCCACTGTTTCCTTTCCTCCTGATTCTTCTGTAACTCACTGATATATAAACATCTCCTCTGCACTCAACCTCCCAGTAACAGCGACCAGTCAGACCAGTTCTACACAGCAGCTGAAGATAATGATCAAATCTGTCTGGATGATCAGGATATGACTGAAGCTCCTCCACATGTGTCACCTTCCTGTTGTCTTCAGACAGTTTGAGGAATCTGTTCACTGTGTTTGTGTCGATGGTGAGTTGACAGGAATCTGATGGAGAACAAACACAATCCAGCTGCAGTTATTGATCATTTATTGACACTTTGACTCCTGAATGAGTGATGTGACAGTTTGAAGATGGTTGAATGTGAGCTGCTTTGTTGTCATGAATCAGATGAAAAACACACTTACATTTCCTCAGACCTGGAGTCAAGAATCGGCCTCCAGCAGGCTCCACCCTGAAAGGAGGAGGGGGGTCAGACCATCAGTCTCTTTCAGCAGCAAACATGGACATTACATGTCTCTCAGACACATATTGTCCTCCACTGAGACAGGAACAGTCCAACATCTGGATTGCAAACTGCAGTGGATGTAGGAAGGACAGTTGGTGCTGCTGCAGCACAACTCATTTCTCCAAACACAGGAAAAGCTCCAACAGAGAGGAGAAAGGAAATCCCTCAGTAACAACCTGAAGAAACTCACTGAAGCCTAAAAGGACATCAGGAAACTAAGGAAACATTTCTGGAAGCTCCACCTGATTTAATAATCAGCATTAAAATACAATCAATCTAAACTCTGATCAACACCTGGATACCTGATCCATCCACACTCCCACACACTGATGAAGGAATGAAACACTAAACAGCCGTGCTGCTGAAAACCTGCTGTGGCCTCACTGTAATATCCAGAAATACAAACATTAAAAAGGAGAAGCTGCATCACATTCAACAAAGATTCAACAAGAATCAAAGATTTGATCTCTGAGCTCAGACTCACAAACCAGGGAGAGGCTTCCATCATCACACACCTCTGACAAACACCTCCAACCTTTCAGCACTTCCTCTACCAACCAGCACCACCAGGTGGCGCTGCACACATTTACAATGAGCCCAAGAAGAAGAAGCAGCATCCTGAATCCAGCAGCTGCAGTAATGGCTTGTGAAAGTGTCCAAGGAGCATCTGGAACCAGAACCAGCAGATCCAACAGTCCAGAGAGTCTTTGTTTGCATCTTTCCTCTCAGATTTCCAAGCTGCTCTCAGAGGGAAATGACATCACTCTACTGATGATGTCATGCTCTGATGTCACTAATCAGGAGCTGCTGGACTTCTACATTTCCAGCATGGAGGACAGAGAAGATCTCAGCTCTGATGAGGAGCTGGCCTTCACACTGATTGAGGGTCAAAGAAATATTTCCAGATGAAGTCAGACTAAAATGTTGGATTGTCCTGCTGTTGCAATCAGAGGCCAAGAAGAAGCTTCAAGTTCTTCTCCTGTTCAGCTCCACGTTCCTGTCAGAGACTTCAGCTCCTCATGAGGAGAACAACTAAAGCCTGGAACCAACTGACACCAACATCCTGACATCCCTGAACAAAGCTTTGCAGCATCAAGGTGACTCTTAGCACCGTATATGGACAGATTTCCTCTAAAGGGGGCGGAGCCTGGATTGGAGGAACCAGCAGCAGCTTCCAGGAACAAACCTTGGGAACCTCTGGAGGAGAACATGGAGATGAGATTCCTGCTTTAATCAGTGGATTCATTGATAGAAAACATGAAATGTCTGAGAGCTGCAGCTCCATTTTCTACAGATCTGCTGGAACATCAGATAGAAATGAAGAATTTCATCATTTCACATCAAATCTGTTCATCTTCCACAGATACAACTGAATTATTGAGCTGAACTGGTTCCAAAGGTCTGGATGGTAAAAAACATTCATTGTTTTTCTGTCTCATTAGTTTCCAGAAAGAGTTGAAATGTTTCAGAAGCTTTTATCCTGCAGCTCAGTAAAGATCTCTCCTCTTTCCAACCTGATTTAGTCCATGAAGCAGAACATCTCTGCTGCTGCAGCAACAGGAGGAAACTTCTCCAGATCTCAACTTCTACACTCTGACTGCTTGGAAACAGATCAGGAGGATCAGCCTTTTCTCCAGGCTGCTCCTCCTGACTCTAGCGCCACCTAGTTGAGGACAAACTACCATACAAATAAAACTGCTAAACTCTGCCTCAAACAGTTTGCTTCATGTTTTTGTGTATTTTTGGTTTCATTAAGTCCTGAAAGTTGTGAATCTTTGTTTCACTTTTTGAGAACTTTTCCACATCCATCTGACCATTTTCTGATCTTTCCTCATTTGGGCTGATTGGTCTAGATCTCCATGAAATATTCTTTTAAAGTCCAAATTGTGTCCCAGCTGTGTCTCTACAATTACATATCATATCTTTTATATGATATCATTAATCTGCATATTTTTAACTTATTTTTAAATCAGCCAATCAGCTTCTTGTATTTCCTCAGTAGATCATCAGTGGAAGCCCCGCCCAGCCCATGATGCTCCTGGTTTGTGAAGACTGAGAGACAAACTGAACTCTGATAGGAAACAGTTTCAACTGATTTTCTCTCTCCAACCTCTTGGTTCCACATGGAGCTATATTTGGCCCCCTGCTGCTCTGAATACCATGTTATTGTGGTTCAGTAGATGGGTTGGTTTCCCAGGTTCATTCAGAACCATGTGGAAGATTCTTATAGTTTAAATGAGCTGCTGTTTGAAAGGTTACACAACCAAAATGACCAGAGATAATTTGAGTTCTTAAACTGTAATAAGAGATAAAATGGGGTTCAAAATGTTATCCATTCATTTATAAATGATATGACTGTATACCAGCTTCAAACTAAATGTTTTCAAGCAGACAATGTTTAAGGAATCATCAAATGTTTGTGTTACTTTCCAGTCAACAATATTCTTCGACTTATTGAAGAATAGGTCATATTTTTCAAAACTTTATTCTATAGTTGGGACTCAACCCTGAAGAACTGAACTACAGGCAATAAGGAGGCTGGCAAGAGAAATATTACTACATTAATCCAGTGTCAGTTTTAACAGAAAGAGTCCATGAAAATCTAGTCTGAATATCAGCATCAAAGCTGGTTTGAGGGAAAACACCAGCTTCAACACAAGCAGAGAGAATCTCAAATTATATCTTTCCATTTTTAACTGGTTGGATTCAGAGATGGAAAACTGAGCAGTGACTGACAAAAACTGTTCCTTTGAGCAACAAGTTAACTATTCAGCTTCAAACTAAATGTTTCCCAGCAGACTGACTAAAGACATTTCTCCCTCTTCCTCCTCTATCAGACCTTCTCTGCTCCTGCAGCAGGTTCCTCCATACCTGAGAGCTTCCAGTCTCCAGTGTGGATCCTTCAGTCCAGCCGACAGCAGCTTCACTCCTGAGTCTCCTGGATGATTGTAGCTCAGGTCCAACTCTTTCAGATGGGAGGAGGTCAGAGCTGAGGCCAGAGAAGCACAGCCTTCCTCTGAGACCAAACAGCCTGATAAGCTGCAGACACACAATTCATCACATGATGAGAAAATGAGAACATTGAGGTAGAAACCAAGGTCTGAACTGATGGATGGACGGACGGACGGACGGACGGACGGACGGACGGACGGATGGATGGATGGCCGAGAGTTACCTGAGAGTTTCCAGGTTGCAGTTTGGACTCTTCAGTCCAGCAGAGAGAAGCTTCACTCCTGAATCCTGCAGGTTGTTGTTACTCAGGTCCAGTTCTCTGAGACTGGAGGACTGGGAGCAGAGAACTGAGGACAGCTTCACAGCTTCTCTCTGAGAGGTAACAGCCACTCAGTCTGAGGAGACAGGGAGGAAAATATACTATTAAATAATTTATTAAAATGTCTTTTTTCCAGTCAACAATGTTCCTCTTTACTGATTTAATGAACTGTTTTATATATAATCATGTTGCCTTTTGTTGTGAACTGGTTCAGTCTATATTTGGGTCTCCAGCCATGAAGGACTGAACTAAAGGCAACAAGGAGGCTGGCAAGAGAAATATTAAATTCCTCTATGAACTAAATTAATCTATGTCAGTTTTAACAGAAAGAGTCCAATGAAGCCTGAGAATCAAGGCTGGGCTGAAGATCAGCATCAGGCTCAGTTTGAGGATCAGCATCAGAGCTGGTTTGAGGGAAAACAGCAGCTTGAATCAAAGCAGAGCAAATCTAGTTTCATCTTTACATGTTTAACTGTTGGATACAGAGATGGAAAACTGAGCAGTAACTGACAAAAACTATTTGAACAAGAATCAAATTGTTCTATAAAAGGATTGTGTAAAGAAACTGCTCCAATTTAAACTCATGTTTGGAAAAAAAACATTGAGAAAACCAATATAGGGGGAAATACCCATCTAACAGTAAGATCTATTATCATTTTCTTCTATTATTGAAAAAACATTTGCATCATAACTGATAGAATATAATGGACAGAAATCTGGTTTCACTAGGATTGAGAACATTTTACCTGAGAGTTTCCAGGTTGCAGTTTGGACTCTCCAGTCCAGCAGAGAGAAGCTTCACACTGAATCCTGCAGGTTGTTGTTACTCAGGTCCAGTTCTCTGAGACTGGAGGACTGGGAGCTGAGAACTGAGGACAGAGCTTCACAGCTTCTCTCTGAGAGGTTACAGTAACTCAGTCTGAGGAGACAGGGAGGAAAATATGTTATTATACAATTCTACAAAAATTATATTTTTCAAGGTTTTTCTTGGACAGAGAAGGATCAATCTTATTTTACACATGTTTATGATGCCTTTTGTTGCGAAATGGTTCATTTTATAGTTAGTCCTCCATCCTTAAAGTTTAGAACTACAGGAAACAAGAAGTCTGGAAAGAGAATGATAAAATTCCACAATTAACAAAATTAATACAATTTAAATTTTAACATAAAGAGGACGAGTTTTGCTGCTTTAATATGTATCACTATGTCAGCTGCTGAAGGGAGTCTGTGTCTCCTTCACACATCACCCCCAGTGAGAAACTTTGAGGAGACAATGCAACAATATATAAGCTGAAAAATTAACATATATGTTTACCTCATCATTAGTATATTTCTATCAAAGATAACTGCATTAACAATGTGTGTCCTTACAGAGCTTTGTTGGAGGCTTTAACCACTGGCAGCAGCCTCAGAAGAACCTCCTCTGAAGCAGAGTATTTCTTCAGGTCAAACACATCCAGATCTTTTCCTGATGACACTAAGATGAAACCCAGAGCTGACCACTGAGCAGGAGACAGTTTATCTGTGGAGAGACTTCCTGAACTCAGAGACTGTTGGATCTCCTCCACTAGAGAACGATCATTCAGTTCATTCAGACAGTGGAACAGATTGATGCTTTTCTCTCCAGACACATTCTCATTGATCTTCTCCTTGATGTACTGAACTGTTTCCTGATTGGTCTGTGAGCTACTTCCTGTCTTTGTCAGCAGACCTTGTAGGAGTCTCTGATTGGACTGCAGTGAAAGTCCCAGGAGGAAGCGGAGGAACAAATCCAGGTGTCCATTTGGACTCTGTAAGGCCTGGTCAACAGCTCTCTGATGGAGAGAAATTATTTGAGGTTTCTTAAATAATGAAGATTTCTTAGATGTTGATGTTTCTTCCATCAGGTTGACACCAGAGTTGATGAAGGTCAGATGAACATGAAGAGCAGCCAGAAACTCCTGAACACTCAGATGGACGAAGCAGAACACCTTGTCCTGGTACAGACCTCTCTCCTCTTTAAAGATCTGTGTGAACACTCCTGAGTACACTGAGGCTGCTCTGATATCGATGCCACACTCTGTCAGGTCTGATTCATAGAAGATCAGGTTTCCTTTCTGCAGCTGATCAAAAGCCAGTTTTCCCAGAGACTCAATCATCTTCCTGCTCTCTGGACTCCAGTGTGGATCTGTTTCAGCTCCTCCATCATACTTGACCTTCTTCACTTTGGTCTGAACCACCAGGAAGTGGATGTACATCTCAGTCAGGGTTCTGGGCAGCTCTCCTCCCTCGCTGGTCTCCAACACATCCTCCAGAACTGTAGCAGTGATCCAGCAGAAGACTGGGATGTGGCACATGATGTGGAGGCTTCGTGATGTCTTCATGTGGGGATGATCCTGCTGGCCTGTTTCTTATCTCTGAATCTCTTCCGGACGTACTCCTCCTTCTGAGGGTCATTGAACCCTCTGACCTCTGTCACCATGTCAACACACTGAGGAGGGATGTGATTGGCTGCTGCAGGTCGTGTGGTTATCCAGAGAAGAGCAGAGGGAAGCAGTTTCCCCCTGATGAGGTTTGTCAGCAGAACATCCACTGAGGTGGACTCTGTAGCATCAGTCAGGATCTCCTTGTTGTGGAAGTCCAGTGGAAGTCGACTCTCATCCAAGCCATCAAAGATGAACAGAACCTGGAAGTGTTCAAAGCTGCAGATTTCTTTGGTTTCAGTAAAGAAGTGATGAACAAGTTCCACCAAGCTGAACTTTTCTCTTCAGCACATTCAGCTCTCTGAACGTGAATGGAAATATGAACTGGATGTTCTGGTGGGCTTTGTCTTCAGCCCAGTCCAGAGTGAACTTCTGTGTTAGGACTGTTTTCCCAATGCCAGCCACTCCCTTTGTCATCACTGTTCTGATTGGTTGATCTCTTCCAGGTGGGACTTTAAAGATGTCTTCTTGTCTGACTGTTGTTTCTGGTCTGTGTGGTTTCCTGGATGCTGTTCAATCTGTCTGACCTCATGTTCATCATTGACCTCTCCAGTCCCTCCCTCTGTGATGTAGAGCTCTGTGTAGATCTGGTTCAGAAGGGTTGGACTTCCTGCTTTAGCAATTCCCTCAAACACAGACTGGAACTTCTTCTTCAGACCAGATTTAAGTTGATGTTGACAAACTGTAGCAACATGTTCTAAATTAACACAAAAAGTAAAATCAATGATGAAACAAAGGTGGAGATGACTGGATTGAATGTTATTCCATCTTTTCAGACATCAATAAATTTATGATTTATCTATCAGGTTAAATCTTTGTAAAAAATCCTCTTACTGCACTGTAGGCGATCTGCCAACTCCTCCTGATTCATTTTTTTTAGGAAGTTCAGTGTGATCTTCATCACTGCCTCTCTGCTGCTCCTCCTCTGCTCTTCATCATCACCTTCCAACACCTCATCATCTCTCTGACTCTCAGACCATTCTGGATCATCTGCACTCAGAACTTTCTGGATCTTCTTCAGTTCTTTCTTCACAAAAGTGACAATGTTGTCCTCCAGCAGCTGGAACAGAATAATAGATGAAGGAAACATCAGAGTGAAATCATGGAGCCAACACCAGATGGATGTTGGACAGACTGACAGTCCTCTGGTCTACAAAGTGCAGCATGGAGATGAATGTGAACAGAACCCATAGAAAAGTAGATGTATATTTAATAACCATAAATATGGAGTCCAGCTGTGTTTGATGCTGCTGGACAGATGGACCACTTGGAACCTCTGAGCTCTGCTGGTCCACTCTGTGGAGGAACCAGGAACAATTAGGAAGTCAGGAAATATCATCCAGCAGTTTTCACAGAGGAAATCACCAAGAGTTTCACAGTTTAAATACTGAAAAGCAGAAACACAGAGCATGTTGTGAACACAATACACAACACAAAAGGAGTTAGAAAGAGGAATCATAATTACAGTAACACCAGAATCATTTATTAGATGTAAAAAAGTTGATGTTGCATTTCAAACACTCCACACTGTCATTAGATCTCATGGTAGAGACAATGTCCCAGAGATGGGGAGACAGTGGAAGTGAAGGCTCTGTCCACACAGGTCTTCAGGACAGTGTGGGACATCTATCATGTTCTCATGTTTAGATCTGAGGTGATGTGGACATGAAGGACGACTGAGCACTTTTAGGTGTTTTTAATATAAGGTGCATTATAAATAAAATTGATTGATTGTAATATGTGGGTGTGTGTCCAAGAGTGGTCCTCTCCTGAGTGTTAAAATGAGAGTTTTATAATGTATCCTGGAAATCCTTTTGAGAATAAATAATTCTGTTTTTCTCTATCTCCTTTAGCTTTTTGCATGCTTATACATACATATGTCGAAACAACAGTTAATCGAACTTCAAAAAACTGACAAAAGCTTAACATCATTGTTTAATGATGTAGTAACTGATGAGCCTGATTCTGTCTCTACTGGTTATTTTCTGAATGATGGGATTTTGATGCGTAAGTGGACTCCGTTGAATGTTTCCCTTGTTGAAGAATGAAGTATGGTGAAACAGCTTGTTGTCCCCACTCCATATCGGGAAGAGATACTGCGCTTAGCGCATGATAATCCACTGACAGGTCATTTAGGCATAAGGAAAACTTATGATCGCATTTTGCGACATTTTTTTTGGCCAGGGTTAAAAAGTGATGTTGTGCGCTATTGCAATTCCTGTCATTTTTGTCAGCTTTCTGGAAAACCTAACCAGATAATTCCTGCCGCTCCGTTGTATCCCATTCCAGCCATTTTTGAACCTTTTGAACGTGTCCTGGTTGATTATGTGGGTCCGTTGCCGCGAAACTAAAGCGGGGAATAAGTTCTTGGTCACAGTGATCTGTACCTCCACTCGTTTTCCAGAAGTTTTTCCTGTGCGAAAAATATCTACGCCAGTTGTAGTGAAGGCTTTAACGAAGTTTTTTTCGCTGTTTGGTTTGCCTCGGGTGGTGCAGACTGACCAGGGTTCTAATTTTATGTCTAAAGTATTTGCACAGGTTTTAAAACAACTTGACATTAAGCACTGTTATTCCAGCGCTTATCACCCGGAAAGCCAGGGCGCACTCGAGCGTTTCCATCAGACGCTGAAAACAATGCTTCGCACCTACTGTTTGGAGTTTGAAAAGGACTGGGATGAAGGTGTACACTTACAACTTTTCGCTATACGGGAGGTGGTTCAGGAATCATTGGGGTTTAGTCCGTCCGACTTGGTTTTGCTCACACAGTTCATGGTCCTTTAAAGCTATTGAAGGAGAACTGGTTGTGTGAGAAAAGTGACCAAAATTTATTGGACTATGTTAGTAACTTTCGACTGAAGCTGAACCGTGCGTGCGAGATAGCCAAAGAAAACCTTCAAGCTGCACAGGCTAAAATGAAGTCTTTATTTGACAGAAAAGCGACCATGAGAGTTTTGAGCCTGGTGACAAAGTTTTGGTATTACTTCCGGTTCCTGGTTCTAGCTTACACGCGCGTTACAGTGGCCCTTATGTGATTAAGAGGAAAGTCGGAGATAGAGATTATGTGGTCTCTACTCCGGATAGAAGGCGTGCGTCACGTCTATGTCATGTTAATATGCTAAAACCGTACATCGAGCGTGCGCCCCCTCTGCCTAAAGTGGTTAGTTGTGTGTCCAGTGACCAAACGAACTCATGCGTCGGAGCAGGTGCGGAGGCATGGAAGGAGCTGTCCAGTGCTGAACCTGAAGAGGACGTATTTTTCCCTGATGCCTCTAAAGGTCAGTTTCCAAATTCGGAGGTGTTGAAAAACTTACCTCTCTTGTTGTCTCACCTTGATTTCTCCAAGCAGGCTGATGTCATTAATTTGATGAAGTCTTATAGGTCATTGTTTGCAGATATTCCCACTCAGACTCGTGTTCTCAGCCATGACATTGATGTTGGTGATTTCAAGCCAATTAAACAACATCCTTACAGAGTGAACCCGGACAAGAGAGGCCGTTTGAAAGCGCAGGTGGAGTACATGGTGAAACATGGACTGGCTGTTGTCAGCAGTAGTGCGTGGAGTTCGCCGTGCCTCCTCACTATTAAAGCCAATGGAGAAGACCGTTTTTGTACGGACTTCAGGAAGGTAAATGGGGTGACTCAGCCGGATTGTTATCCACTGCCACGTATGGAAGATTGTGTGGATCATGTGGGGGCTGCCCGCTTTGTGACCAAGGTGGATTTGCTGAAGGGATACTGGCAAGTACCCTTAACTGCGCGAGCCCAGGAAATTTCCGCTTTTGTCACACCCGATGATTTCCTTCAATATACTGTGATGGCTTTTGGGATGCGTAATGCCCCAGCGACGTTTCAACAGTTAATGAATGTGGTTTTGTCCTGTTTATCATTTTGTGAGGCTTATTTGGATGATTTGGTGATTTGTTCTTCTACATGGGCTGAGCACATTGAACATGTAAAATCTGTTTTTGCGCGTCTGTGTGAGGCTAATTTGACCGTTAACCTCTCCAAATGCCAATTTGGCCAGAGGTTAAATTGGCATTTAATTCCATATTGGAATCCTGGAAATGAACGTTTTGAAAGGAGTAACACTTTATTTGACACAGTGTCAAATAAATCTGGTTTTTACTTTCCAGTCAAACTCTTTGCACGTTTGATTTCCAATTCTTTTAATGCACTTCTACTATCAGTCCACTAGATGGAGACATGGAGGCTAAAGTAGAGGCTATTCTGTCTGTGCCAGCACCCACCAGTCGTACCGAGTTGCGACGGTATTTGGCTATGGTTGGTTACTATCGGGGGTTCTGTAAGAACTTTTCCTCCGTTGCTGCCCCTTTAACAGACCTACTTAGTCCTAAAGTAGCGTTTATTTGGTCTGATCGGTGTCAATCTGCTTTTGAGCAAACTAAACATCTACTTGTTAAGGCACCGGTGTTGTCTGCGCCTCGCTTTGACGTGCCGTTTAAGTTGGCCGTGGACGCATGTGATTCGGGCGTCAGAGCTGTCCTTTTACAGGATGGTTCTGATGGGCTGGAATATCCGGTTTCTTATTTTTCTAAGAAATTGAACAAATATCAGAAATGGTACTCCACCATTGAAAAGGAGACACTGGCGCTGGTCTTGGCTTTAGAGCACTTTGAGGTGTATGTAGGCGGTTCCGGTGGACCTGTGGTGGTTTTCAAAGACCATAACCCGTTAGTCTTCTTGGACTGCATGCGTAATAAAAATCGCCGTTTGATGGGCTGGTCTTTACGTCTTCAGTCTTTTAATATTTTGATCCAACATGTTCGTGGTAAAGACAACGTAGTGGCCGATGCACTCTCACGTCTCTAGACTTATATTTTTTTCTCTGAATCTCACGTCAAAGATTCAGAGTCTTTGGGTGGGGGTGTTATGTTCTTTGGGCACTCTCTAATTCTTTTTATTTTCTTAAATAATCTTGTATTGATTTAAGTTGAGTGGTTTTGTGTTTAATATATTTTTATATTAAACTAGCTTCACCTGCAGAGGAAACACATCATTCATCTGCACATCAACTCTGATCATCCTTTACATCATTAGTGCTGGAAAAAGATCAGCTGCTCCTCCTCTGATTGGCTCTTCTTCTCTGCTTCATATCAGTGTCAGGTGAATGCAGTCAGACAGCAGAGAGGCAGAGGAAGCTGCCATCAGCACTTCTACTATCAGTCCACTAGATGGAGACATGGAGCAACATTTACATTCACTGATTCAACCTGAACAACAGGAAGTATTTTAATTAGTTAATTATTAATCTCTACAAGTGGATTATTTTCTGCATAAAACTATTATAATCACTTGAACACATTTCAACAATAATATTTAGTAAAAATAATACATAATATTCATTTATTTTGAAAGGATGCAAAGAAACTTTTGTTCCTGACTTTAACAGTTTGACTCATGGAGGTAAAAACATGAAGCAGAAAAGAAAACATAGAAACACCAGCTGCTCATCATGTTGTTTGATTCTTGTTCATTAGTAATCAAATAGTGTAAATTAACCTTCAAACAGAAGAGAGATCAAACTGAGTGGAAGTCAGAAGTGATGCTTCTTCTCCAAACATCAGAAACATATAAAAAGGTTCCAGTAGACAAAGTTCAAGTAGGAAACCAAGCAAACTTACAGTTTCTTCATACGGTTCAAAAAGTTGAAGAGTGTCTGAACAACAAACTGAGACCTAATAGAGCCACGGTAGACTCAGACTAATGCACACCTGTACAGAGACAACAGATCTGGACTTTTACCTTACCTGAACAACTCAAAGTTCAAATTCAATGTGTGAAAAGTGTTGCATAAGTGATTATTTGACGGCACACCTGGTTTGTAGTGTCTTGTCTGAACAAATATCAGAAATGGTACTCCACCATTGAAAAGGAGACACTGGCGCTGGTCTTGGCTTTAGAGCACTTTGAGGTGTATGTAGGCGGTTCCGGTGGACCTGTGGTGGTTTTCAAAGACCATAACCCGTTAGTCTTCTTGGACTGCATGCGTAATAAAAATCGCCGTTTGATGGGCTGTCTTTACGTCTTCAGTCTTTTAATATTTTGATCCAACATGTTCGTGGTAAAGACAACGTAGTGGCCGATGCACTCTCACGTCTCTAGACTTATATTTTTTTTCTCTGAATCTCACGTCAAAGATTCAGAGTCTTTGGGTGGGGGTGTTATGTTCTTTGGGCACTCTCTAATTCTTTTATTTTCTTAAATAATCTTGTATTGATTTAAGTTGAGTGGTTTTGTGTTTAATATATTTTTAGTGTAGTGATTAATTGGTGGGCGAGGACGGCCTATATATAGGCTGGGTTGTAATGGTTGGCCGCCCAGCCGCTCTCTCTCGCTCGCTCATCCACCTCCATCTCCTCCTCCAAGAGGGATGCGCTCGGAGGAGGCTCCTCCAACTTTGTCGGCCTTTGGACCCATGTGACGCCTCCTGCCTGCCATGGGGATTTTTTGGGTTGTTTTTTGGTTTGTTTTGGCCTGGTGTGTCTGGTTGTCCTGTTTTCGGTCATTTGTGTTAATAGCTTATATTATTTTTCCCTATTTTCTTTAGTCTGGTACTAGCAGGGGCTTCGACGGCCCTGTATAGGGTTGGCCCCCTGCTGTACCTTTTTGTTTCTTTGGACCGGCTCACCAGGTCCACCTTTCTGTTGAACTTTTTTCTCTTACTTTTTTTGTTACGTTTTGGGACACGGGAAGAGGGGTTCTTTCCTTCCTTTACAGAAGAAAAAACAAGTAGAAAAGGACAAGGAAGTTTAAAAGAAAAGAAAAAAAATGAATAAAGGAATATTTTTCTTGGAATCCTTTTGTCTACGTGTCCTTTTAAATATGGCATCCTGGCGGACGTAACATATGTGCACACACATAGAGTACACACATGCAAAGCTATTGTTAAAGGAAATGACATATTAGGGAACGCCCTATTTGGGGTTTAACTAAGATAAATAAATACATAAATACATAAGTAAATAAATAAATAGATAAATAAATAAAACTGGGAACATCTGAGTTCATAATGGTTCAGTTTCCACAGTTACAGCAGTTAGAAACATCTCACCTCTCTGACGGTGGAGATCCAGGAGATTTAAAGTTAATGATTGGATCCTTTGACCTGTCGCTCTTAAAGGACACACAGCTGGGTTCTGGTTCTGGTTCTGGTTTGAGTCTCTGATGGATCCTGACAGAAACATGATGATTAAAACTTAATCAGCAAAGAGGAGCAGCAGCAGCTTCATCACCACGTCTGTTCTGGCCTGATATAGTGAACGCTGTGTGAAAAGGGCTGTGGACAGTTAGAGATGGTGACCTCACCTCCGACGTTTGCTCTGGCTCTCATCTTCCCCACACAGAGTGGTTTTAGAGGGAGGGACCCCCTCCTCTCTGTCCTCACACTGATCCATGCTGCTGAATCCACATCAGCTCACACACACTTTCTAGCTTCACCTGCAGAGGAAACACACATCATTCATCTGCACATCAACTCTGATCATCCTTTACATCATTAGTGCTGGAAAAAGATCAGCTGCTCCTCCTCTGATTGGCTCTTCTTCTCTGCTTCATATCAGTGTCAGGTGAATGCAGTCAGACAGCAGAGAGGCAGAGGAAGCTGCCATCAGCACTTCTACTATCAGTCCACTAGATGGAGACATGGAGCAACATTTACATTCACTGATTCAACCTGAACAACAGGAAGTATTTTAATTAGTTAATTATTAATCTCTACAAGTGGATTATTTTCTGCATAAAACTATTATAATCACTTGAACACATTTCAACAATAATATTTAGTAAAAATAATACATAATATTCATTTATTTTGAAAGGATGCAACAAGAAACTTTTGTTCCTGACTTTAACAGTTTGACTCATGGAGGTAAAACATGAAGCAGAAAAGAAAACATAGAAACACCAGCTGCTCATCATGTTGTTTGATTCTTGTTCATTAGTAATCAATAGTGTAAATTAACCTTCAAACAGAAGAGAGATCAAAACTGAGTGGAAGTCAGAAGTGATGCTTCTTCTCCAAACATCAGAAACATATAAAAAGGTTCCAGTAGACAAAGTTCAAGTAGGAAACCAAGCAAACTTACAGTTTCTTCATACGGTTCAAAAAGTTGAAGAGTGTCTGAACAACAAACTGAGACCTAATAGAGCCTCGGTAGACTCAGACTAATGCCACACCTGTACAGAGACAACAGATCTGGACTTTTACCTGAACAACTCAAAGTTCAAATTCAATGTGTGAAAAGTGTTGCATAAGTGATTATTTGACGGCACACCTGGTTTGTAGTGTCTTCTTTCTGAGCAGCAGAAGGTTTGCTGTAAAATCAGAGGCAGGTTGATAAAATCTCCATGATGAAATGAGCCCAGAGAAAAGAAAAGCTGGTTTTCTTATTTTGCAGTATCTGATCAAACAGAAAATAAACATAAAACTAAACTAAACGATAATCCTTAACATCACCACACGACTGCAGCTGAAACCACACATTGTTCTAATCCAGATTATTCCTAAAGCTCCTATATAATCATTGATCATGATGTTAGTGTGGTGAGCAGAGTGAGGACAGTCTCTGGTTAAAACCAGGATCAGCTGAGGAGGTTCTGCTGATCCAGGTTGAAATTTCATTTCAATCATCATCCTGAATTTAAAGTCAGAGTCAGATCAAGAGCAGAGAGGACAAATGCAAACAGAAGCTGGGAGTATGGATCATATTGAATGTTTTGAAACCTGAAAACACACAGAAATCACAAGGAGCCAGAGCAGACCAAAAACAGGAACCAGGAGCAAAAATAAGCAGAATATCAAAAGGCAAGTAACCAGGATATGATGGGATTTAAGAGAAGGGAACAGCAATAAGAGTGAGCAGGAGAAGAGAATAAATATTGTGAGGGTGAATGCTGGAACAAAAGACCTGGGCTGATTAACAGGTTGGAGGAAAGAGAGAGAGAAAATGGCACAGGGGGCAAAGAAGAGAACACACCAGGGAAACTAGAAAAAAAACCAAGATACCACATTGTAACTGGACCTAAGAAACATAAAATAGCAAGAATAACAAGATATTAAAGTAAAAATAGAAACAAGATTAATCTAATTAAAGAAAGGGATGAAGGACTGCAGAATAACCAAACCTCAAATTCAACTCAAACCAACCCAGGTCATAACTGCTGAACAAGGAAACACGATGAATCCAGCTGAAATAGCTCCTGTCCAGCCACTCAAAGACAAACCTCCAAACATTGTAAGTGAGCTGAGCCGGTTTCCTGTCATACAATCGGTCAAACATCCCAAACTTTTTCAGGATGTCCAAACTGCTTTACCAGATCCTGACCCGGCCCAAAGACCAGCTGCCACCACTCATGTGCGCCTAGTACAAAAAAGGTGCAAAAAATCAAAAGATGACACAACTTAACACACTCATAAGATGGAGCAAATATTCACACCCCTTTATTAAATCATGTGATTAAACCACATGTTTTTAGGAATCTGAGCTAATTTTCCCAGTGAATCCAGACCTGATTATTATCTGACCTGCAGATACAATAAATTATTTTAATAGAACCTCTGATGGATGATGGTTTATTTTTGGTCTGAGAATAAAATGTTTTTGTAAGGATCATGTAATCACATCCTGGAAAGTCCTTCAGAGTTATCTTTGCTCTAAAGTTATGAAAACCCGAAACCTCTCCCTTTTTAACAGAGATCAATAACCAACACTCTGATCTTTGCTTAATCTGCCAGTTTGACAAATATAAATGAACATCGCTTCAAAATGTGTGTATTTTATTACTTCTGAGTGGGAAAGTGTTTCTGAAATGGAGCAGGAAATACATTTCATAACAGCTGATTTGCATGTGATCAAGACAAGAAGGCAGCGGTCAACACACACACACCCAGTGGTGTGTTCACACACACTCTGCAGAACTTTGTGTTCATCAGGAGGTCGATTGTTTCAGGTTTGAGCTAAAACAGAAGCAGCAGCACTTCCTCTACAGGAGAAAACACACGAGGTCATGAGGTCAAGCTTTGTGACAGTAAATAAAACACATGAATAATCTCTTGGTTTGCTAAATTATAATAAAACATGATATTTATGTTATGAACAATGAAATAATTTTAGCTTGGATTGGCTCTGAACCCATCATAAATCACTGATTCATTATAAAAACTTTGACTAGACTCAGAGTAGACTTATGGAAATATACATGATGAAGTATTTAAATTCAGCATTTCACTGAAAAAGTAATTAAAGTGTAGATACAGGGATAAAGATTAGCATGCTAACCCCTCAGGTTCCCATCAGCCACTTGGGTTTCAGGATGACCAACATTTTTAAACTGCTAATTTTGAGCCTTTTAAACCAGATATGGACATTAAATGTTCCCTGTTAGAGATTCAGGTTTTAACTTATGGATCTTTGTCAGTAAATTTGATTTAATTATTGGGGAAAAATAAAAAAATAGTCAAGGAATAAACTAAAAATTAGGTTTTTGGAGGTGAAATGATTAATTGTTGAATAAAATGGAAAATTAATCATGTAGGATTAATGAGATTATTTTATTGTGAAATTTTAAACACATTACATTTGTACTTTCACTTTGTGTAAAGAGTATTAAGTACTAATTGAATTCATATAAAACATGCAGTTTTTCATGTTATTGAACGTAGGCAGCCTTCAAAATGAGCGGTCCTTATTTTTCTGTGATGCTTCCAGTCTCTGCGTTGTCCTGTTTCCCCTTGATTGTTCCAGGTGTTCTCGTTTCTGTGATTACCATCTGTGTATTTAATCCCACGGTTGTCCTTTGTTCCTCATCGGGTCCTCATCGTTCTTCACGTCATTTTGTCAAGCCTGTTCTTCTGTCCACCAGGATGAACAGTTGCTAACGGCGTTGAGCCCTGGCTTCAGCTCAGCCATGCTGCCTGTTTTTGTGTTTCCACTTGGACTATTTTTACTATTAAAACCATCATTTAACTGTATCCTGGATTTTCTGCCTGCTGCTTCACCACCAGTATACCAGCATCTCTTGATAGAGTGAAGCTATGACAAGAAAACAAACTGAAAAACATGTGAATCCTGGAATAATCCTGGAATAATCCTGGAATAATCCTGGAATAAACCCAGCTTCCATCTTTAAAGGACTAAGAAGAAAAAGTTTCCAAGGACTCAATCAGAATCGTTTCAACAAGAAATAGATTGTAGAGACTGAACTATCTGTTCAACAGTGAGAGAGTTTCTCTGACAGGAGGAAAAACTTTAGACTCTTTAGACTCAAATCAGCTCAGAAACACTGAAGAGGAACCAGAACTGGACCATAAGAACCCAAATCCAGGAATCAGAGGTTCAGTGAATGTGGTGTTGAAGGTGTGGAGGAGGATCAGTGAGTCAGAGGAGACTCTGTAGAAGGACAGAATGCCAGCAGGACAGTCCACATACACTGCTACTCTGTTAGAGACAGAGGAGGAGGAGAGACGAGTTTCTATGTTATTGTGCCAGACAGAGTAACCATAACGATCAGAGCATCTCAGACTCCAGGAATGATCATTATATCCAAACCAACAGTCTTCAGTGATTCCTTTCCTCCTGATTCTTCTGTAACTCACTGATATAAAACATCTCCTCTCCACTCAACCTCCCAGTAACAGCGACCAGTCAGACCAGTTCTACACAGCAGCTGAGGAAGATCAAATCTGTCTGGATGATCAGGATATGACTGAAACTCCTCCACATATGTCACCTTCCTGTTGTCTTTAGACAGTTTGAGGTTTCTGTCCACTGTGTTTGTGTCGATGGTGAGTTGACAGGAATCTGATGGAGAACAAACACAATCCAGCTGCAGTTATTGATCATTTATTGACACTTTGACTCCTGAATGAGTGATGTGACAGTTTGAAGATGGTTGAATGTGAGCTGCTTTGTTGTCATGAATCAGATGGAAAACACACTTACATTTCCTCAGACCTGGAGTCAAGAATCGGCCTCCAGCAGGCTCCACCCTGAAAGGAGGAGGGGGGTCAGACCATCAGTCTCTTTCAGCAGCAAACATGGACATTACATGTCTCTCAGACACACATTGTCCTCGAGAGGGTCTTGACTGCAGCTGCAGAAAGGGGCGGGGACGGACCACTGTCAGTCTCAGACCTTATATGGAATTGGGACTATTGCATTCTGGAAATGAAGGGGGCGCTATTTTCACAATCACTAATACCTTAAAGAAGCGGGGTGAAGAGGTCGATTGGAAGAAGTTTGAGAGGTTTCGCCATTGACGTTCGGAACGCTATTCATAATGGAACAATCACAAAGTCAGCAAAAGGTATTTTCTACCTTATTAAAACTTTTTTCACATAGTACATCAAAGTGCTTTTTCTAGATTAGGTTGAAAATATAATTGACAGCTGCAAACGAGTGAAATTCATAGTTCGTACAGGGGAAGGCAAATTTTAGCATGTAGCATAGCTAATTATTTTCGTGCAGGGCATCATTAGATAAAAATCGAAAAGTAGAATAATGTATACTTGAGAAATGTATTTTATGCCCCAATTTTGTTTTTCGTTATACAGATGCACTTATCAATTTGCAACATTGGGATCGGACAGAAAATTCTTCCTGTACTGTCTGAAGACAAATACCGCTGTCCCCTTTGCTCACACAGTGCGGAGGAGTCTTAAAGGTACAGAACCACATAGCAACAACTGCTATGGTTCAACATAACAGTATGTAAAACTACACTTATGAATGTTTATTTTTACATTCTTATCAGTTTTCTAGTGTTTTTATTTCATTTTTAAAGGTTAATATTTTTTTAAATATGTTTTTGTACACCAATGTTAAATTTCTTGAAGTCTAATATTTTTTATAAACTAACAGCTTTTTTTATAAGCTAACAGCTGCCATCATAAGTGGAACCCAGAGATGATACTGTAATGACGAGCAGCACTACTTCAATGTATTTTTAGTAACTGTGCAGCAAACTACACATTTAAAAGTAACAAAGTATTTTGTGAAATGGCTATTATTAAGTACTGTTTTACTGATTATAATGTGCAATGTAATATTACACATTTTTCAGCAGACATTAATAAAAATGAAGTTATGTGCACTGTTAGGTATTTTAATACAAGACAACAAATTAAGGTTAGAAGAAACCTAACATAAACAACATTT